CCCCAAAACCCCAAAACCCCAAAACCCCAAAACCCCTTAAATATTGCCAATTATTGAAATGAATTATTTTTTAATAATATTTAAATAAAAATCCTACAATGGAGAGAGACCCAAGCAATCCTGAAGGAGACCACCCAGGAGAAGAAGTCAAAGCCTGGGGTATGATTAGTGAAGAACAATTTACAAAGCAAGATGTATTAGAAACAGCAGAAATAGTATCTTTGCTTAAGGATAAATATAATCTCTATGAATCACAAGCTAGAAGTAATCTGAGACAAGAAGTATTAGGAACTTTACTCACCCTTGTCAGAGAAATGATCGCTGAAGCAGCAATGGAAGGAAAACAGAAAGAATCAGCTGATAGAAGAGCAGGAGGTCAGATATTCACCTTTGGAAGTTACTCGTTAGGAGTTCATGGGCCGTCAACAGATATTGATACACTCATAGTAGCACCCAGATTCGTCGATAGAGATAAACATTTCTTTGGGATTTTAGGTGAGAAGCTTAAGAACCATCCTCAAGTCAGAGACTTTTGTCCTGTTCCATATACTAATGTGCCAATTATAAAAATGGTGTTTATGGACGTTGACATTGATCTTCTGTTTGCAAGGACTTCAGCTCCTTACATCAGTGAAGATTTGACATCACTGAAAGATGATAGTATCTTGAAGAACTGCGATGAAGCCTCAGTTCTTTCTTTGAACGGTACAAGGGTCACAAACTTAATATTAGAATTAGTTCCTAATAAAGAAAGTTTTCAAATAACCTTGAGATGTATTAAGCTTTGGGCTAAAAACCGTGGTATTTATTCAAACATTATCGGGTACCTTGGAGGAGTATCTTGGGCCATCTTAGTTGCCAGAGTTTGCCAAGGATACCCCAACCTTAAGCCAAATAAGCTCCTTAGAAAGTTCTTTAAAATGTATCTTAATTGGTGTTGGCCTGATCCAATTCTTTTGTGCATGATCAAAGACTCTTCAGTAGAAGTGAAAATTTCAGGATTCATTACAAAATGGGATCCGAACTCCAAAAAGAATGTAATGCCAATCATTACTCCAGCTTTTCCTGCCTTCAATTCTACATTCAATGTGTCACACACTACTAAAGATATCATGATGAAGGAGATGAGAAAAGCTCTTGATATTCTCAAAAGAGTAAAGAAAGGAGAATGCACTCTCGAAAGATTGTTCAAAAAGCTAAACTTCCTCAAAGCTTATAGATGGTACCTTAAAATCGATGTTCTCGTAAATGATTATGATGAAAAGAGATTCCAAGGGCATATTGAAAGCAAGCTCAAGAAGTTAACCCAGTTTTTCGAAGATTATGAACTCTCTTGTCAGAGAGAATACTACCTAGAGGCTCCAATTATCTCTATACATCCATGGATGCACAGCTATAAGACCCATCACCCAAATTTCAGATATTGCGAGTCTTTCTTCTTTGGACTAGATATGAAGAAAAGAGAAACACAGGCTTTTGAAGAGGGAGGAGATAATGAAAATGAAGAGCAGAAGGAAAATGTTACAATTACTAACGGGGGAGAGAACTATAATGGCAATCCAAACCTAATTTGTCTAGATTTTATCATCAAGAATTGGTTTGAATTCATTGTTCCTGAAGTCGAACCACAAAATAAGAGTGATTTCCCTAAAAAGGAATTCCCACATAATGTTGATGTGAGAGTTTCACCAGTCAAAAGAGAGGATATCCCAGATATTATCAACCCTCCAGTTTCAGTAAAAGAGGAAATTCCAGAAGAGGAAGGTGATCAAGAGTATGACCATAATGGTTATTATGCTTCAAAGCATATAGAGGCTCAAGGGGAGTATAAAATTGAGAACAAAAGAGTCAAGACTGAAGACTTTTCTAATGAAATATAGCCCTCTCATTAATGTTCAACTTTAATTTTACTAAACGGGGTTTTGGGGTTTTGGGGTTTTGGGGTTTTGGGG